CAAATGTTTTTTCTGCATCTATTGAGATGATCATAAGATTTTTATCCTTCATTTTGTTAATATGGTGTGTCACACTGATTTTTTTGCAGATAGTGAACCTACCATCCTTACATCTATGGAATTAATCCTACTTCATCATGGTGTATGATCCTTTTAATGTATTACTGAATTCAGCTTTTCTGCTATTTTGTTGAGGAGTTTTGCATCTGTATTCATCAAGGATACTGGCCTTTACTTTTCTTGTGGCTTCCCTGTCTAGTTTGGTATCAGGATGACACTGGCCTCATAAAATGAGTTTGGAAGGGTTCCTTCTCTTCTGTTTTTTTTGGAAGAGTTTGAGAAGGGTTGATATTAATTCTTCCTTAAATGTTCGGTAGAATTTGTAATGAAGTCATCTGGTCCTGGACTTTTGTTTCTTTGGAAGTTTTTGATTACTGATCCAATTTCCTTACTATTAATTGGTTTGTTCAGATACTCTATTTTTTCATGATTGTCTCGGTAGATTTTATGTTTCTAGGAATTTATCTGTTTCTTCTAGTCCACTTTGTTGGCATATAAGTCTTTGTATCAGTCTGTAATGATTCTTTGTATTTCTTTGGTAGTAGTTGAAATGTCTTCTCCTTCATTTCTGATTTTATTTATTTGGGCCCTTTTTTCCTTTGGTAAATCTAGCTAAATATTTGTGTATTTTGTTTAGCTTTTTAAAAGCCCCCTTCTCAGTTTCATTGATCTTTTTTTTTTTTTAAAGATTTTATTTATTTATTTGAAAGAGAGAAAGAGATCACATAGGCAGAGGGAGAGGGAGAAGCCGACTTGATGTTGAGCGGAGAGCCCGAAGCAGGGCTGGATCTCAGAACCTTGAGATCATGAAGACGCTTAACCAACTGAGCCACCCAGGCGCCCTAGTTTCATCGATCTTTTCTGTTGTCTTTTTAGTCTCTATTTCTGCTCTGATCTTTGTTATTTCCCCTTCTCCTAACTTTGGGCTTAGTTTGTTGTTCTTTTTTTAGGTCCTTAAAGTGTGAAGTTAGGTTATTTGCGATCTTTCTTGTTTTCTAATGTAGATGTTTATCACTATGAACTTCCTTCTTAAAAATGTTTTTGCTATATCTCATAGTTTTTGGCATTTTGTATTTCCATTCTCATTTGTCTTGAGGTAATTTTTTTAAATTACTTTAGCCTGTTGGCTGTTCATTAGCATATTTTTAAATCCCCATGTATTTGTGAATTGTCAATTTTCTTGTAATTTATTTCTAGTTTGATACCATTGTGGTTGGAATATATTAATATTTCAGTCTTCTAAAATTTATTAAGACTTGGTTTTTGGCCTAACACATGGTTTACCTTGGAGAATGTTCCTTGTATGTTTGAGAAGAATGTATATAGGCCTTATGCTATATGGAATGTTCTGCAAATGTCTGTTAAGTCCATTTGATATTATGTATGTGTGGTTTAAGTCCAGTTTTTCCTTGCTGATTTTTCTGCCTTGATCTAGCCATTGATGAAAATGGGGTATTTGAGTCCCCTACCACTATTATGTTTCTGTCTTTTTCTCCCTTCTGGTCTGTTAATATTTGCTTTATATATTTAGGTGCTTCTATGTTTTTTGGCCCATAAATATTTATGTAATATACTCTTATTAGATTGACCCTTTTATCATTATATAATGACATTCTTTGTCTCTTCTTACAGTTTTGGCTTGAATATTGTTTTTTCTGATATAAGTATAGCTACTCCAGTATTAGTTTGATTTCCATTTACATGGAATATATTTTTTAATCTATTTTTTAAATTTTTTAAAGTTTATTTTATTTTAAATTCCAATATAGTTAACATACAGTGTTAGTTTCAGTGTACGATACAGTGTTATATTAGTTTTCAGTGTACGATATAGTGATTCAACAATTCTATACCTCACCCTGTGTTCATAAGTGCTCTCCTTAATCCCCATCACCTATTTTACCCATCCTCCCACCCACCTCCCTCTGCATGCAAACCATCAGTTTGTTCTCTGTAGTTAAGAGTCCGTTTGTTGTTTATCTCTCTCTCTCTCTTTTTCCTTTGCTTGTTTTATTGGATTCTTAAATTCCACATATGAGTGAAATCATATAGGGTATTTGTTTTTGTCTAACTGACTTAATTCACTTAGCATTATACTCCCTAGCTCCATCCATGTCGTTGCAAATGGCAAGATTTCATTCTTTTTTATGGATGAATAATATTCCATTGTGTGTGTGTGTGTGTGTGTGTGTATATATATATATCTATCACATCTTTATTCATTCATCTTTCAGTGGACACAGGCTGCTTCCATATCTTAGCTGTTGTAAATAATGCTGCAGTAAACATAGGGGTACATGTGTCCCTTTTAATTACTGTTTTTGTATTTTGGGGGTAAATACCCAGTAGTGCAATTGCTGGGTCATGTGGTAGTTATATTTTTAGCTTTTTGAGGAACCTCCATACTGTTTCCACAGTGACTGCACCAGTTTG